AAGAACAAAGGAGTAGCAAAAAAGTGATCAATACAAAAAGTAACATATCAGTTTAATCGTCAAGATTATTCCAGGGCAAGAGTTCAGGTCCTATCACTTGTCTCCGTGTCGCGCGCCTCCGAGGCCCGGCCACGGCGGTCGTTCCAGCTTCTTCTCGAACCTGCGCTCGCTCTCACGCCTCCCCGGGGAGGCTGGCGCGGAGGGAGGCGACCGCCGGGTCTGCAGCAGCAACTCATCGCCAAGTCCAACCAGCTCGTCCACCGTGGTCGGCCGCCACCGAACGAACAGATCTGGCTCCGAGTCCCCGGAGCGCAGACAGGCGTGTGTCCGGAACAACGCGCAGACCTCTCCCGTCCAGTGTCAGCTTCCTCCCGCCTTCGGCCAAGAGGAGATCTGAGGTCATAAGGCCACTCGGATGCAGTGGTGTTTCAGCTTGCAAGGCAGGACTCCTCTGTTCAGCTGGTAAAAGTCCACGAGCTGGATCAGGTCGGAGAACCTGGTCTTCCCCTCGTCCAGGCTGAAGAACAGCTTCCCGTCCTCCTCGCACTGCGGAGACAAGAGCACCCTCCGGGTCAGAGGCCACACTGGGCACCACACGGGCCGGCGGCCGGGGTTCATGCCGCCCGCCCATGGAGGGGTTCTCAGGGACACACGTGGGATCTGCCCGCTGAGCTAGGAAACGTCAGGGCGGGAGGCCGGGGAGCCAGGGCTTTGTGCCCGGCGCGGCCAAGTGACCGAGGGTCCCAGACAGCCGGCTCCCCTGTTTCTGGGGGGAGCGTGGGCAAAAGGGTGTCAAGCTCCTCCCAGCTCACCCTACTCATGAGGATGAGGCTGACCAGTTAGTCTGTAAGGGTCCAGTGGACACAGCCCACCCCATGGAGGAGGGTGAGGTTGACCAGTTAACCATATTGTCCAAGCACTTGGCTAAACCCCATGGGGGGTGAAGCTCACTAGTTAACCATAGTGTCCGGGCACTCGGCACACCCCGTGGACAAGGACACAGCCCTGGGCCCTCACAGCCGGCCCCCAGGCAACCTCCTTCAGCCGCCCGCCTTCACGTTGCTCCGTTAGGAAGCAAACACTGGATAATCATAACGGATTAGTGAGATCGTGTAGGAAAAGCGACTTGCCCGGGTCCTGGAATATTCGGTCGTGATTTTTATTAAGATGGACGAACTCTACAGAAACAACCATCTTCCTAACGTCAGTTTTGACGGAACACGTTTTAAGCTCAATGCCCGGAACATGGTGCGAACAGGAAAGCCGCTTTGCGCTGTTCACACGGAGGGGGTTAGTTTCGTTTGTTTATATTTAGAAACATACCTACTTGTTTATTTTTAACAGTACGTCATTTTATTTGGCAGCATTGCCTCTCTCCCTAAAAATTTGTGTATATATTTTTATTTTTCTCCCATTTTTCAAATTGAAGTAGAGTTGATTTACAATGTCGTGTTAGTTTCTGGTTTACAGCAAAGTGATTCAGTTATACTACAGGTTATTTCAAGCTATGGAACATAGTCCCCTGTGCCACGTAAGAGGACCTTGTTCGCTATCTACGCTGCACATAACGGTTTTTATCTCCAATCCCAACCTCCCAATTTATCTCTCCCTTCCTCCTTCCTCCCCTGATAACCGTAAGTTCATTTTCTATGTCTGTGAGTGTCTTTCTGTTTTGTAAATAAGTTGGTTGGTGTCAAAATACTGGCTTTAGTTCCCTGTGCTGTACAATATATCCTTGTTGTTTGTTTATTTTTTGGGGGGTGCCAATTAGGTTTATTTATTCTTTAATTCTTTTTTAAATGGAGGTGCTGGGGGTTGAACCCAGGACCTCATGCATGCTGAGCACGTGCTCTACCACTGAGCTGCACCCTCCCTACAAGGAGGTTAGCTTTAAATTTGCATCGATTAATAAACTTCTTCACTCCAAAAACACTGTTTCGAGCTGCAAGCACACCCATAGCCTGTTTTTAAGCACAGGGGCTGCAGTCCTGGTGCCGTATGTCTCAAGTTCCGGTCCCTCTGATCTTTCTAGGATTTGGGGTTATTTGGGAGAACGGTAATGATCTGCTCTGCTGGCCAGCACCTTCCCCCTTTTATTTCATATTTGAGGCTAAGAGAGTAACGTCTGTGCCAGTACTACCATGCAGTGGGCAAACGAGAAGGGTTGTGCCTCGGAGAACAGCTCCCAGGTTGGCATACAGTGTTTGGTGGACCCTGAAACGTCTGGGCTCCAAGTGTGTCCCTTTCTAGTGTGGCCCAGGGCAGGCCCCCCAGAGCAGTCGGGGCTCAGTTTCCTCATTGACACAGCAGCGAGCGCTGTCCCACAAAACCCCAGCCGGTGCTTCCGCCAGGTCACGGCAGCCAACCCTCCCTTCTCCCGGCCACGCCTCCCATCACCTGTCACCGGGTGACTCTGCAGACACTTGGTATAAACTCCTGGGCTCAGAAACGCTTGAAAAATGCCAAGTTCCACGATGCAAAAGAGATGCATTCAGTTCCTGCAAGCCTCCTCAGGGCTGAACTGTGCGGAGGGACAGAGGAGCTCTCTGGGAGGGACACACAGGGCCGCCCTCTTGCAGCAGAATTTGCCTGGGTTTGGCTTCCCAGGAAACATTCCATGAAAGTTTTTACGACCTGTGGAATTTACCGATTCTGTGCCTACATCACCATCGATACCCTTGACCGACGCCAAACATCCGGGGCCCATCTTGTCCACCTCACCCGCAACGAGACCGCGCGTTCTTGGTGGTTCCTGACGGCCATCTCCCACGGGACACCCGAGTCGTGAGCTAGAATCCGAACTTGGGCACACCACGGAGTTGAGCGACACTTGACCAACCTAACAATCATTTGGGAAGACAGTGGTGCCAACTAATGTGTCCAATGACGAAGCTTTTGAAACTGTTCAAATATGGAAGATGTTTTCTGATCCATGGACCCCAGGGAAGGAGGAACAAAGGTTCTCTTTCGGGACCACGGTCACTCTTCCTAAAACCTTTGGGAGGCGCCCTGGTACCCGCCAGCAGAAATCAGACAATCGCTGAGATTTCAGTGGCCGAGAGTCGGACCTACTGAACACACCAGCCTTTCCATAAGCACAGGTGCCCCTGGCGCCAGGCTCCCGGGCAAACAGCTCTGCTCTGTCTCCCCAGATCTGACCTCGCTGCTCCCCATCGGGGCCGCTTCAGCTGCAACCAGGAGCCAGACAGGCCGCGGGTGGACTGCAGCACAACGCCACCGCCTTCTACCTGACTCTCATGGAAACATCGCTCCCGATTCCAAACGATCAAACCCCCCAAGAAACTGCTCCAAGCATCTCACCGGGGAGCCTGAAACTGTCTGACATTTCATGTTCTGGTTAGTTTATAACTTGAAAATTGCATTAACAATAAACCCGGATAAAAAAAAAAAACAGAAGAAGAATGAGTGTGTAAACATCGATACTTACAGGCAAGATCTGGAAATTTTTGATTTTCTGATGATGACACAGTGTGAGAACAAATGCCTTTGGATTGCTCTGGCTGTCACGGAGGAGGAAAAGTCTGCGGGCGGAAATAATCAGACTGTTAATCTGAAAAATCCAGACTTATTAGTGTATACGTCTGCGCACGCACACGCGCACGAACACACAGGAACACGGGCAGGCTCGGGTGGCAGGATTACCCCCACACCCGGACTGCGGCTTTGGACTGTCACTCTCCACGGAGAGGAACCAGGACGTGGCTGACTCTAAGGCTAAGGCTGGGGAAATACGAGGGGAGGTGATCAAAGAAGAATGGCTCAGGCCAAATCTGGCCACCAAAGCAGATGGCGGAAGTGGTGCATTGCAGCCTGAGAACACACTGCTATGATAAATCAATGAGCAGATGCGTAGTAAGGGCGGAAGCAAAGCTCCTTCCAGGAGCAGAAGGCCAGCTACATCAGTGAGGGAGGAGTGATGGATTCGAGGACCACTCGTCGCAGTTGCCAGAGACGACCGCTGAGTAAGGGCACCAGCAGTGGATGCCAGAACCAGCATCAGTTTGATGAGAAAGAGAATGCTTATATCGTCTCGAAGCATCCACCCCACCAAGACTTAATGAGGATGACCAGGGACGCAGAGTAACCTTCCAGAAGAGAAACCCAGTGGGTACCGCCTTCAGCTCCTCCAGCCAGCACCCCCGGGAGTGAGAGAGCCCAGCCCAGCACCTCCTGACGGTACCACCTGCCTGAAACGCACCACCTGAACCCAGTTCTGCCGGAGCAGACTGGCCCAAACCCAAGCGCCGTCTGCGCTCACTGGACTGAAGCCCGTGCTGGCCCAGGGCGGGGCTGAGGATACACAAGCTGTCTCCTTTGGTCATAAAGGATGCAGCTAGGACCCTCGGTACAATTTGAGTGCATACATCGGAGGGCAGGACTGAATTCATGGTGCTGTGGTTCATAAGGGAAGCCCTTCTTTTTTAGAAATTTCATACTTTCATAATAATTAGGATTAAAGGGGTATCATGCCCCAGTGTACTTCCAGAATGGTTCTGACACAAGAAGGAATATGATAAAGCAAAGATGTTACAATGTTCACAGTGGGGGTACCCGGGTACAACGCGCACAGGGGCCCACACCATCATTCTCACACCTATTCCACAATCTGAAATTACATCAAAAGGTCTACAAATAACAAATGCTGGCGAGGATGTGGAGAAAAGGGAGCCCTCCAACACTGTTGGTGGGAATGTAAATTGGTGCAGCCACTGTGGAGAACAGGATGGAGGTTCCTTATGAAACTAAAGACAGACTTGCCCTATGATCCAGCAATCCCACTCCTGGACATATATCCAGAGAGAATCTTAACGCAAAAAGACAACTGCACCCCAATGTTCACAGCAGCACTATTTACAACAGCCAAGACACAGAAACAACCTAAATGTCCATCGACAGATGACTGGATAAAGAAGCTGTGTTATGTTTATACAATGGAATACTATGCAGCCATGAAAAAGAACGAACCATTGCTATCTGCAGCAATGTGGATGGACCTAGAGAATATTATGCTTAGTGAGGTAAGTCACACAGAGAAGGACACACTGTATTATGGCACTTACATGTAGACTAAAAAATAATACAAATAAGTGTGTATGCAAAACAGAAAATGCTCACAGATACAGAAAATAAGGAATCATACTCATTATCTTGTAATAACTGATAATGGACTATAATTTACAAAAAGACTGAGTCACTCTGCTGTACACCCAAAACTAACACAGTATCGCAAATCAACTGTACTTTAATTAAAACACATTTAAAAAGTTAGACTAGCACAAAGAAGTGTGAATCACTGCTTTCCCACTAACACATCCGGAATCAGATGGCAAGACAGACACATGCTGGAAAGGAGGAGGAAAAAATCCCCGAGCCCTAACCCCAGGGACAAAGAAGAAACAGCCTGAAAGGAAACACACTTTAAAGGTTTTAGAAACCCAGCTGCAGGGGTCAGTTTCTAGGTAAGCAACGTAGTAAGACGGAGAACAATTTTAAAAGATTGGAAATCCTGGGTTAAAAATGTAAAGATGGTTTTCTTTTGCTGCGGGACTTCTCAGAGCCTTTAGGATGCTAGACTAGAAGAGAATGAATGCTATTCAATGCTCAGGGCCCCAGTGGGAGAGTTTCCCTCTCTTATCTGACTCTCTCATAGCATCTTTCATAGCATTTTGCAGGACATGTGTTCTTCAGAAAACAATTTAGAGACACCAAGCGGAGCAGAACCCCACAGCTCAGCTGGGCAAACGGGAGGGCCAGGGCTATGGATCATGGATCTGGGTTTGATGAGGGCGAGAGGGCCAGCTCCTCTCCTGAGCGGGGCTGCACGCCCGCTGCACGTCTGCCCCCCAGAAACCCAGGAGTTCGCAGGGCTGGGTCTTCCCAGAGGCAAAGCTGGGGCCTTCCCTTCTCATCTGTTTGCTTCTGAGCACCCCAAGAAGCAGGCACCACACGCGGCCTCAGTTTGGGGTGCAACCTGGGGAATCCTGAGGCTGCCTCAAGGGTTTGGGACATACAGGTGGTGCCTAATGGTTGCCTGTCTGAAATGACCACCCACTCGGAGGAGCCGGTGAGGCTACAAGGGGTGTGGCTTGTCGTCAAGAGAGATTCCCGGATCTCCACTCCCTGGAGACAGGGCTCAGGGAGGATGCACCCCAAGGGGTGCCAACACTTAGGAAACCAGCACAGAACACAGAAAGGGGACGCGCTGAGGACCACGGGGTGGGGGGGTCCGCTCCTCCACTAGGAACTGAAGTCAGGCACAGGGGGCTCTCCCGAGTGTGTTTACGGGTCCCTTCATGCAGGAACCCAGAGCTGCTTGCGCCCGGGGCGGCGGAGACCAGAGCCAGGACACAGCCCAGGGTCTCGCCCAGACGCTGCACACGCGGGCTCGTTTAGGACTGTCCTCATCTGACAGTGAGGGGAGCGGGGCACAGAGAAGTTAGGCGATTCCCCTGAGGTCACACAGCCGGCAGAAGAATGAGGACGGGAAGTGGAAAAAGTCAGAAGAAGGAGGAGGAAGACAGAGGAGAAGGAGCAGGGAAGACACTGATAGGATAGGACGCGGAGGACAGAAACTGCGACACCAAACGCGGAAGCCGGGCAGGGAGCAAATGGGGGCTCGTTACACTCCCCTCTCTCCTGTGCATGGTTAGATTTGCATCGTAAACCTTTTCGAAGACAAAGAACAGAAGGACCATTCTGAGCCTGGCAGCTTCCAAGGGCCTGCATTTCCAGCAGAGCCAGGGCGGGGCGCTCTGCCAAGGAAGTGAACCAGGGCATCTGAGGGACTCATCACGGCCTCCTCTTGGGGTCCAGAGACAGGGCTCAGGCTGAGCTCCGGAGTGGCCACCGCTGCGGACGACTGTCCCCACCCCACGGGTCAATCACACGTCCATTACCACACCCTTGGGCGCGCCCCTCCCATTCACAGCGATGCTGAGCGTGGCCACACGGGGGTTGCTCTGACCAACGGGACCTCAGCCCTGAGACGTGCTCGAGCCCTGCGGTGGGACCTCTGGCTCCCGACAGCCTCACGATGGCCCTGATGTGCATGGACCCAGGCTAGCCTGCTGGAAGCCTGTGCCCGTCACCCTGTATCCACGGCCACAGCCAGACACGTGAGGACAGCCATCCTGCGGCCCAGGTGACAAGAGCCACTCAGCCAGCCCCAGTGGTACAGCTTTACTGTTTTAAGCCTCTCAGGTTCGGGGTGGCTGGGGTCTGTGGATGAAAATGACGGCCAGCTGCATCAGCAAACAAAGGACGCAGACCTCAGCCATCAGGCACTCCCGTGGTCCCCAGTGGTGAGCCGGGGCGGGGAGGGGGTGCTCAGGATGCAGACAAATGGGCTGCCTGCTGCCAAGCCCTCAGCCTCTGCAGCCACCCCCAGCGGTGCCCTAGGCAGACTCAGGATGGGAGAGAACAGGACACTGGCCCTGAGCTCGGGTGCACATCAAAGGAATGATTCCAGTGAATCCAGACTCTTGCACCTTCCCATACAGAGAAAAACACTAAGTTCTTTAACTGGAGATATCTGGTTCCCTTTAATTAACAGTCATCTTTTGATGTTCCGACTACCCGGTCTTTGTTGCAAAAACTCCTACAAATCCTGGCTCCTCCCCTGCCTCTTCGGAACGACCTGAGAGGCGGCCTCCCGGCTTAAGTCCTTAGAAATGTCTGTGGAATAAAACAGAATGCTCAACTTGTGCTTTTTTTTTGCTTTTTTTCAGTCGACAGGCAAAAGCTAACGATAAAGTGGAGGCAAAAGTACAGCTTTTTTCCCCACTGGCCCACAGCCTTCTTCATGCAAAATAAGTAGTGTGTGCTCATCGCTTCGGACTTCATCAAAGAGGCAGAGGATGGATGGAAACGGACCGCAGGGCCTCTCCGCCAGCCACTTCCCAGCTGTGCGGTCCCTGAGCACACACGGCCTGTGTTTAAAATGCGGCTCCAGCCTCTGCCCACCAGGGCCGGACGCCCAGGGGAGGCGAGCCGGCCGGATGCCCGGCGCAGCAGGACCGCAGCCCTCGCCCGAGGTGGCCCCTTACCCGTCCACGAGTCCCTGCTGTTTAATGAGCCTGTGTGACTCCTCCCTGGAGATCCTGCCGTGGAACCAGTGCTGCGTCCTGTGGATCACTGTCGGGGGAGAGGAGGGGGACCGGTCTCAGCCCCTCTGCGGGAGCCACTCCCTGAGAGCCAGGCCAGATGTACCCGGGGCCCCCCACCC